TTCTCCGTCTTACTCTTAATTCTTTCAATATAACTCTACCATACACTTTCCAGGTATACTCAACAGACTTATCCCCTATAATTTTTGCACCCCTCTTTTGTCCCCTTTGCCTTTATACAAAGGAAACTATGCATGCTCTCTGCCAATCCCTAGGTACCTTACCCTCTTCCATACATTTATTAAATAATTGCACCAACCACTCCAAAACTATATCCCCACCTGCTTTTAACATTTCTAACTTTATCCCATCAATCCCGGCTGCCTTACCCCCTTTCATTTTACCTACTGCCTCACGAACTTCCCCCACACTCACAACTGGCTCTTCCTCACTCCTACAAGATGTTATTCCTCCTTGCCCTATAACTACACGAAATCACAGCTTCCCTATCTTCATCAACATTTAACAATTCCTCAAAATATTCCCTCCATCTTCCCAATACCTCTAACTCTCCATTTAATAACTCTCCTCTCCTATTTTTAACTGACAAATCCATTTGTTCTCTAGGCTTCCTTAACTTGTTAATCTCACTCCAAAACTTTTTCTTATTTTCAACAAAATTTATTGATAACATCTCACCCACTCTCTCATTTGCTCTCTCTTTACATTGCTTCACCACTCTCTTAACCTCTCTCTTTTTCTTTTCTAAGGGCAGTGTGTGGTGTAAATATTATGCAGAAAATTCGGAGTGTGGAAATTAGGAGAAGGCGTGAAGTTAATAAAAGTATTAGTCAGAGGGCTGAAGAGGGGTTTATTGAGGTGGTTTGGTCATTTAGAGAGAATGGATCAAAGTGAATGACATGGAGAGCGTATAAATCTGTAGGGGAAGGAAGGTGGGGTAGGGGTCGTCCTCGAAGGGGTTGGAGGGAGGGGGTAAAGGAGGTATTGTGAGCGAGCGGCTTGGACTTCCAGTAAGCGTGCATGAGCGTGTTAGATAGGAGTGAATGGAGACGAATGGTATTTGGGACCTGACAAGCTGTTGGAGTGTGAGCAGGGTAATATTTAGTGAAGGGATTCAGGGAAACCGGTTATTTTATATAGCCGGATTTGAGTCCTGGAAATGGGAAGTACAATGCCTGCACTTTAAAGGAGGGGTTTGAGATATTGGCAGTTTGGAGGGATGTGTTGTGTATCTTTATACGTATATACTTCTAAACTGTTGTATTCTGACCGCCTCTGCAAAAACAGTGATTATGTGTGAGTGAGGTGAAAGTGTTGAATGATGATGAAAGTATTTTCTTTCTTTTTGGGTCACCCTGCCTCGGTGGGAGACGGCTGACTTAAAAAAAAAAAAATTAATAAACTGAAAAATATTGGTTAGTCTTAAGGATGGATACAGGGCCCAATCTGGCAACTCTGCTGTGATCTCATTGTAAACAAAGGGAAGAGTACATTTCCCACTATATTCATGGACTTATTATGCTGTGTGAGTAGTAAACAATAGACCAATGCTCTTGTATTGCTATTCTGTAACTTGGAATTGCTGAACAATTTGCATTATCAGACACTATCTCCTTCCCAACTGGTCTATTAAATGTAGGTTTTTCTGTAAGCAAACCACAGTACAGACAGGGATTGAACTTGCTGCAAGTGAGTCATAAAACTTCAGACCACCTGTACTGTGGTTTGTTTGCAATTGTGTTATTAAGATTTCGTGGGTTAGGCTTTACTGTACTTGGAAAGTACAAAGTTAAATATACTATATGAGATGGGTTGTAATAAGTTTGATAATGTAGTACAGTAGACCGATGTTCAATCTTTTCAGGGTCGAGAGGGCCTTCTCCTAAACTTGTTCTCATGGTCGAAAATTTTTCGAAAAAAATAAAAATTATTTTTTTCTTATGAAATCTGATGAAAAACCTATGGAATTATGTTCTTGCGAAGTTAGCAGTCTTGATAACGGTTACGTATTGGCGATTTCACCCACTTTGAGGCCTTTTTTTGACCAATTCCAATGCACCAGTCGACAAAAATCATAGCTATTTCATTAGAACTCCATTTTTTCTATCGAATGAGTACAAGAAACCAACCAATTACCAATTTCAACTATCCAATATAGTGGTCAGAAATTGGCAATTTTGCCAATTTCACACAAATTTCAAAAGATGCCAATTTCCAAATAGGGTCCAGAATAAACAAGACAGACATTCCTGGCACTAAAATAACATTTTATCTGTTCACTAGTCATGTCCCCAGGCCCCTCTTACATTTCTTTCGCTTTCCACTTTGAACTTATATTCTCGCAAAAAAAGATTTACTGTTATGCAGACTATTGCATTAGTGTAAAAATGGTATAAATAATATCATTGCACTTGTGAAAGAATATTACTCACCAGTTGACGTGTATTTGACGCATGGCATGATTTGTTTACTTTTGAACATTGGCAAAAATCGAACATTTCTGCTACTTTGAGCTCAGTTTTAAGGTACTTTTCATTGTGAAACCAATCAAAATCATCTTAATTTCTGTAATATGTCTTCCATTCTATAAATTGACACCAAGAAAAACAAGAATACAACCGTAAATGCCATATGAAAATAAAGTGCAAAGTCGCTGTTTTAAACAAAAAACATGGTCGGAGTTTTTTTTTTTTCATGCACTATGTGCTGCAGGATTTTTTTTATACTGTACACACTGACCACGCAGACCCATTCTTTCATATGTAGGCCTATCAGCTTTCTTTCGCTAGAATTTATGCATGCAGTAGAACCTCAGAAATATCAACTTAATCCGTTCCAGGAGCTATTTCTAAATTCAAAAAGTCTGAAATTTGAAGCAATATTTCCCATAAGAAATAATGGAAATACAATTAATCTATTCCAGAAACCCAAAAATATTCACACAAAAAATACATTTTATAGAGATTAATTACAGTTTTACATACAACAAATACTATAGTTTTTAATTATGTATAGTAATACATATAAAAATAACATTTTTACTTACCTTTATTAAAGTTTTGGTGATGGCATTGGAAGATAGGGAGGAGGAGAGAGGGAGTTGGGGTTAGTGTTGGGAAGGAGAATCCCCCTCCATGAGGACTTTAGGTAAAGCCCTGTCTGGGGTTACTTCCTTTCTGTCTTTTAATGCCACTAGTAACAGCTTGAGAGTCACTGAACCCCTGTCTCACAAAATAACTGTCCGAAAGTCCCTGTTTCTGGTGCCTCTTTAACATTTCCCTAAAGTGGGACATGGTTCTGTCACTGAACTTGTTGCAAAGAGGCTTGTTTCAGCTTGCTCAGGGTGGTACTTCTGCACAAACATTTGGACATCATTCCACTTGGCACAAATAAACCTTAATCTTTGAAGAAGGCACCTCATCCACTCCCTATATTAACACCTTTCGCAACATCAGCTTCCTTGATTTGTTCTTTCTTTGACAGGATTAGAACCGATGGTCGACTTGTTTTTCCCATACACCCTTTGGCAAGCTCAACAAGTCTCACACCACTCTCTTACTTCTGTATTATTTCCTTCTTCACATCTGTGATGTTTCTCACTTTCTTTACCACAGGGGTACCATTAGCAAGTTTCTTTGGACCCATGGCAGCTTATTTCACGTCCCACAAGCACTAAACACAAAGAAATATTCGTGAAATGCGTGATTGGGGAGCGCAGGTTAGTGTTCACTCAACATAAACAAAGCTAGACTGCTCACGGCGCCTGCGCGGGGACGCGGGCAAGGCGGGCCGGCAGACAGGTTCCCATCCCGGCGGTCCGAAAATAGGGGGGGGTTCGATAATAGGGACACAGTTTGTCCGAAAAAATGGTCCTATTTTCGAAATGTTCAATATGTGATACGTTCGATTTTTGAGGTTCCACTGTACTAGTATGGCACCAGCCCTAGCGTGCAAGCTGTACTAGTACGACACCGACCCTGAAAGGGTTTAACACGGTCGTTACTTTCCCTGAAAAATTCCTTTGTTAGGCTAAACTGTGTTAGACGAACTGAAGATCTTGTGGGAAAAATAGGGTTACGTTCCTGGGAGCCTCCAAAAAGCTAAAAAACTTTTTTGTAGACCAACAGATCTTGCAAAAATAAAAGTGAATATGTAATTGTAGTTCATTGTTATGATGTATTATGTTGTTTTTACTGCTTAAGACTACAAATGCAACAGAAATAATAGTATTTCTTACCTTAAATTGTGGGTGCTGGTGTTTGTGGATGATTGTGAAGAGAGTGGAGAGTTATGCTGTGGCCCTACTGGGCTGAGGTGGATGGTAGAGGTTCTGGTACTGAAGTTGATGGATGTACTGGAGTG